AGGGGGGGGGGGGGGGGGGGTTATTGCTTGTATTATAGAAGCTGTGGGTCGAGTAGGCAGTTGCATGAGCGCATGGCCTAAGCAGTTCAAGTAGGCACAAATAACGAAAAGCAATTCTGAACATACGTACCATGTCCTTCGAAACTAGTTATTTCTTTGCTTGGGATTCCCTCCTTGCTTGGAATTCCTTCCGTGCTTCCAGTTTTTTCCTTGTTTCCAATCCCTTCTCTGCTTCCAGCTCCTTCGGAACTTCCAATAGCTCCCTGATGCAGAATTTCCTCCTTGACTCGACCTTCTTCCCTGCTTCCGGCTCCTTCAAAGCTTCCAGCCGCTACATGATTTAGAACTTCCTCCCTGACTCTACCTTCTTCCTTGCTTCCAATACTTTCGTTACTCCCAACTCCCTCTTTACTCCCAACTAATTCCTTACTCCTAGTTCCTTCCTTGCTTCCTAACTTTCTGCTTCCTATTCCTTCCTTGCTTCCAATTGATACTTTGCTTCCCGATCTTTCCCTGCTTTTAATTTTTCTCTTGTTTCTTGCTATTTTGCTCTTTTGTTCCATGTTTGGTCGCCGCCACCACTTTTTTTTCTTTGTAGGCTTAGCAGGTGTTGACTTTGTTGACTTTTTGCTTTCTTTGCTTTTGCTTGTTTCGGTCGCTACTGATTCTCGGCTCGGCTTGGCGCTTCAAAGATACTGTCAAAACTAATTGCTTCAAAGTGACAAAACTTCTGTAAGCCTTTACCTTGAAATTGGGGGAGCGTCGGTAATATAAATTTGGGGTATAATATTTTCGTACTGATGGCTAGTGCATTCGTCTGGTATCGGAGGTGGAGGTGGCGGAAGTAGCGGAGCTGGTGCATGAGGTGGAGGTGGTGCAAGACCTTCACCTGCTCGAGGTAACTCATTCACATAGAGACCACCTCTCTGTAATGATCTTTTTCAGTACAAGCTTCTGCAATTGAATCGGAACTATTGAGGAACAGAAGACCACTCACATCCATCCTATCGAGGATGCTCAAGTAGAAAAAGTGAACATCACTCACTGCAGACATCGAACTTTGATAACGAGTCATTCCATCAACTTTGTTGACCAACCGTCGGCTGTTCAGCTGCCAGTTACGTCCATTCGGGATGCGCCATTCACTCGACGTTTGACCCGAAAAGTGATGCCGCCCCAATAATCCGTCAAGAGCACAAGTAGCATGTGGCTGTGGGTGAGAGTGTACGGAAGGCTTGTAGCAGAACAAGGTTCAAATGGTTGTTAGGGAAAGGGATAGCATCATCCGAATTGTGAAAACTTACGTCTTCATTCGTCCCGATCACGATATACTGGACATTGGCTCGCGACAGCAGCGAACATTGAGTACGTGATAGTTGTGATAGAGGTAGGATTGTGAAAAAGGCCGATATAAGGTCCCAATAAAGGTCGGAAGGACCGAAGCACCTGAGCTTTTATTCTTCACTGTTTGTAAAGTGGTTCCATGATGTGCACCTTTCGTCATTGGCTGCTTTCAGACTTCAACGACGTCAATGTGAGAACCCGCGTTCGACCGACGGTGTTGTTGACTGAGTGTTGACAACACTAGACGCCGATGGATCACGTGCCAGTGTTGTCAACTAGTAGCTAGCGCCGCCGTCGGTCGGACGCGCGCTAGTCGGTTGCATCGTTGAAGTATAAAAGTAGCTGTTCATCCCAAAAGCCCCTACCGGTGTCTTGTTTCTCTAGAGACGTAGTGCCTGTAAGTTATTTCAGCCCTGAACCTGAACTTAGTAATGCCTTTCAGTTAAAGCAAAGAATAATGTGCATTAACGGCACGGTTCACAATAAAAATGGTTACTGAGTTCTTCCCTTAGAAATACTCAGCGCCCCCATGGGTGGTAGAAGGGACCCTCTCACTCCCCCAATCTCGACGCCCAGAGCATAGCCAAATAAGTCAGGATCATAATAATCGTAAGGTCAGGAAGCAGCTCAAAGTCCTTCTTTTCCGAGAATAGAACCTATAAAGAATTTCTGTTATCAGTAAATGATTGAAGGATGAAATCGGAAGCAGACGCAGCTGATCTGAGTCTGATGGGCATTCTCCAAGACCCTGTAGGCGGAATCTGCGCGTCACTTGCCCACTTTATAAAAACTCATCGATCCTATCCTTTCCTGTTTTTGGATTCACCCAGGTTATTGAATTTTGGTTTTGTTTTCACAGAGGCGATTATCTGCCAATTATTACCTATATCCGTTCGAGGACAGTTTTCGAAATTGTTTTTCATAGATGATTGATCATCCACATTACGTTTTTATTCCAAAGCTAGCCTCGAACCATGAATAAGCGCTTCTTTATGTTTCTTTCGAGTTTTTGATGTGTTTGTGTTCATCGTAGAGGAATCTGAAGTCATATAAGCATTCTTGAGAGTGTGTGCAGTTTTTGCTTTGTAGGGCTATGACGAGAAAGTCCTGCAACAACAATGGACCAAACCCTCAAGCAACCTCATAGGCCTAAGCGTAAGCCTCAGTAACTCTTTCAACAGATTGACCACATTGTCTTCCTGTCCACCCTGCGGCTGAAAGATCAGTAACTGTAGCAAGAGGATGTGCAGGGTAGACAAAAGTGAAAGTATAGACTTCCTCTTCCTCCCCTTCCTCTTCCTAGATTCAAGCCTGTCGCAGAGTGCTGCCTCCAAGATGAAAAAGAGTAGGCATGGAGAACATATCAGGCTGCCCACTAAGAAGGGGCACCTTGTGTTTTTCCTCTGTATAGCTTCAGGAAAAAGGCGATTATCCTCGTAAGGAAAATGAGTAGGTAACTGAAATTCGGGGCGAAGAGGTTCTGGAGAATTGTTACTTCGAACATGACTTGAAACTATAAACCAACATCACATACACATAAGTTAACATCATAAAACTCGTCTATTCACCCATGGGGAACCATATTAGTAGAATGTAGGTTGCTTCTCCATTTGTTTTCTTTACAATTTTCATCCTAGTCGTTGAAGACTGGCAAAACCTACTATATCAGAGAACTTATTTGCGAAAGCCTAAGCCCAAGCCTGACTGTTTTCCTCAATCTGGGAGTTTTGCGGGTCCTCTTCGGCTATATTTCTTGCAATGTGAAAATTTATCGTATAAGAGCCAATGTTTCAGCAAGTTTCATCGCTGCGATGAACTCGTCCATTTCTGACATAGACAATGAACAAGAAGGATTGCCTATCTATATAGCCATAATTGAAGCTGGACTCCTATTGCTGGTAAGCTAGTGTCGTCATTCTTCACATTCTGCAACATTTCGTGAAACAGCCCTTTCTTGTCATATAGTTTGGTTCCTGGCACCTCCTCTATTACTCTGTAGCGACATCATAGGATATAATAGTTTATTAGCAATCTCAGCCAATAGGACAATCTCCACAAAGCGTGCTGACGACGGCGACGGCTAGTCAGACGATCGGCGAATCCGCCGGTTGCGACGGCGAGTCCCCCACGGCGCCTGATCACGCGTTTTATAC